TCTGTGTTTATGTGCGTGTGCTTGTCTGTGTTTGTATCTGTCTGTCTGTCTGTCTGTGTTTATGTGCATCTGTGTTTGTATCTGTCTGTTTTGTGTGTGCTTGTCTGTGTTTATGTGCGTGTGCTTGTCTGTGTTTGTATCTGTCTGTCTGTCTGTCTGTAGAAAGCAGTTATCTGGTCTAACATCTTTTACTGGTGTGGCTCAGAGGTCGGCACACGCTTGATGGCTCTTTGTTGTTAATCATGGTCTCGCATCGGCCTTCCAGGCTTGTGCGTTCTGTGATTTTTGACTCGACGTTTTTGACGTAGTTAGTAAACATGGGGTACAGCGTGCAGGGGTAGAAATTAACTTTCGAACACGGGAGTCCAACGGACTCCCTACCCTCAAAAAGAGGGAGTACGCAGTCTGAGGTTCAAAATTAAAGATATTAACAATAACGCATGTGCTTGTTTTTAATATCTGCCAAATTTTCTTTGGACATTAGCTGAAAAATACGGTAATTCCGCGAGGCCGTGCTCTGGAACAAACTAGTTAGTATGGCAGAATTTTCAGGGAATCACACGGACTCCTGCATATGTCAAATCAGGGAGTCCGACAGTAAATCAGGGAGTATTTGACTCCGGACTCCCGTTAATTTCGCACCCTGGCGTGTGCGGCGATCGTCTGTGCTAGGGAGGGGGGCTCCACTGCGAAAGAATTGGGGGGGGGGTATCACGCAAGGCTTGTTATTAGGATTAGCATTTAGCAGAGACCTTTCCTGGATCTATCCACTGAAAAAAAGAAAAAAAGAATGATATTTTACAGGATTTTTTATGTTAGATAATTGATAAATGGATTGATATGGATATGATAGATGATTAGATAAATTAATTATGTCTGAGGTGTTGCTCAAACGCAAAATATTGCACGGACTCACGGTGGCTGTGGTGCGACAGAGTTTAATAGAAGAGTCTGTTCGTGTGCACGTATATTTTTGTTCGATCGTACGTATTAGCCAGGTAATGGTACGTTTGATGCGATGGTACCCCTGTCCAGGTGTGAAGGGGGTCATCCCAGTCATCGTTGGTGGCATGACTCAGTGAATATGTGTTTATGTCGTGCCATCATTGGCGAGGAATGCCTGTCGAGGTCTTCCGTCACCGTAAAAAAAAGATAACGATTCCTGAGATCGGACGGGCCATCGATCGATCATCCCCTCGTCTTCCCTTCCCTCGACGTCGAAACCGACGTCCGTTCGACGAGTCGCGTACGTTTGCGATCGTTCGACCTTCCCTTTTTTTCTGCGCAGAGCTGCCGGATGGCTTCCCTTGCCGTGACTACCGTCCTCCGCAGGAGCCGCCGTGCATCATCCAGCATCTGTGCGAGCATCACGAGGGCATAGCCACGGAGGCGAAGGGGATCAAGGAGCACTGGTGGAAGCCGGACATCAGAAAGCTGTTCGACAGGCGGGTGAGTGAGCCGCCGCGCGTGGGCGTCGTGGCGTGGAGTTTCTTTCTGTGTTTTTTTGGTTGGCTTTACTGTAGTTCGTTAGGTTCAAATTTCGTATTAGGCGAAGATTGTGTGTGGATGCTTGTGTGTGTGTGCGTGCGTGTGTGCTTGTGTGTCTATCTGTGTGTGTGCGTGCATGTGCATGCTTGCATGCTTACAGATGTGTGATTAAACTCTCAGCACATTTCCAACCGGCCCATTATACGTACATGCCTGTAATCGTTTTTAACGAATTTTGCTCGTCTTGTATACATTTCCCATGTTATACGTGTTACCGGTTAACTAGTGTAACGAGATTCCAAGGAATTCATATTTTAAAATCGTTATCTCGTGTTTTCTCCGGTCTAGGTATTGAAAGGAAGATCGGAAACCTTGTCTGGACTAATCGATCAACAAAACTTTGAGAGCAATCTGTAAGTTTTGTTATGATACGGATCCGCGCTGTACGTAAGGCATTCTCCCGCGCCATTATTGTGCCAGCGCGTCCGCGCCCAAAGTAATGTCGACGATCATTCGCTTTGGTTTACACAAACAAATCAATTACATAAACATATACATATATTTTTATAGGTTTTCTCTATTTTTATCGATTTTCCCTGATGCCCTTTCAGTGTTCGAAATAAGGGCTATCCGTTTGTCCTCACTTGTCCATTTCCACGGAGGACGTTTTCAGGTTTTCAGCATTTCACCGTTGTACGCTCTCCTTCTTTATACGCTCTTGATTAAATGTATTACACATTTACAATATTTCTATGTTATTAATCAGGACAAGTAAAAATTTTGCAGAGCAAGCAAAAATATCTTGTAGCTTGTCCGTCGGGCAAGCAAAATTTTTCCCTTATTTCTAACACTGCCTTTCCCTGTCGTTTTCTTCCTCCCACAGGAAGATGGTAACAAAGCTTTACGAGGAGTACGTGCTCAGCGTCGGAGACTTCGACGAGTGCGTCTTCCTGTGCGCGGACGCGAGCGCCGAGATCGGCACGCCGGCGAAGCCAGCAGAGGGCGCCGGTGCGTTCGCACAGCAGATGACGGTGAAGCGCAACACCCTCTACCAGCATGCCGATCCGGTAGGTGGGCGGGGGAGGGGAAGGGGGAGGGTGTTGATTATATTTTGGTCGTCATCCGGATCCAATTAAGTAATTTAAAATTAATAAACTTAATAAAATTTCTTTCACCACAGTGACAGACATTCAGCTGCCTTGGCGGAGGTCTGTGCTCTCCGAGTGCTCTAGTTTTACATTAGATTCTTTCGTCGGAAGCGCACGCGTTGATGCGGCCATTTCTTTTGCGCAGACTCACTTCTTCTTCTTGGAGGGCGCGCGCGTATGTACGGCGTATATTTTCCCGCGGATTCGCTTCTCGCGCGGCGGCCCGCACCTGTTCACACGTCGGCAGTTTGCCGGCGCATTCTTCGATCTTCCCCCATAGAGGCGACTGCGACCGCCCAAGCAAGGCTCCCAATATCTGCATCCTCTATCTGCAACACAAACGGCGAACAGCGCGCACATGAGAACCAGAAACGAGAGCGCAGATTCTACCCCTCACGCAAAAGATAAACATAAAGCAAGGCCATATAAAAATATTGTTTGTTTGCCCTCACCCGAGCCGACCGCCAAAAGAGGGGCCGACTGAAACATTTTTATTGATCTTTCCCATTTTTTTTTTATACAAATTGTATCACTGTACATTATATAAATCTGGTAGACAATACATTATATGTACCAAGCAAAACAAACATTCAAACATAAAGGTATCTCCACACAAGCACACCCCGAGTGTAGACACTATGCTGAATTTTGTAAAAAAAAAAAAAATCAAAAAAAATGTTTAAGCCTACCTACCTACCCAAACTTTTCAGCCTGGTCGGGTGAGAGCAAACAAATATTTTTTTAATTGTGGCCCAACACAAGCACACGCATGAGAACCACGAACGAGAGCGCAGCGCTACACCCATCGAGCTTCGGCGTACCCTCACGCAAGCGCAACACACAAAGTTAAATGCAAAGCAACGCACGCACACCGCGCGCGGCGACGAGACACAACGAACAAGCGCAGAGCTACCCCTACCCAGCACCTGCGTACCCTCGCGCAAGCGCAACACGCAAAAGTTAAACATGAATTTACGGCCACGCACACGCGTGAGAACGGCAATGAGCGCCATGCTAATGCTGTCGCACACCCACAATGCAAATTTCCCATCACTACACAACGTCCTACGTCGCACTTCTTTTACGGATTTTATGTGCCTTGACGGATGTCCATCTGTTTATTCTGATGACACCTCCACTTGACTTAAGCGCCAGCACGCCCTCAACCACCCGTCAGCCCACGCACCATCCTTCACCCCCACGCCACCCCTCCCTCAAAACGCCACACCCCACCCTCACACCAACGCCCACTCGCCGCCACGCACGCACCCCTCACCCATGCACCGCACCACCCCCTCACCCAATGCACCACCCGTCCACCCCACCCACACCCCTCACCACCACCAGACACCCTCACGCCACACACAACCCTTCACCCCACGGCGCCACCACCCCTCACCACACCGAACCCTCACCCCACGCCGACACCCCTCATCCCACGGCGCCAGCCAACCCCATCACCACACGCCACCACCCGCTCACCACACCACCACCCTCAGCCCCACGCCACCACCACTCACC